TATATTATGCCAAAAGAATAACAATTTGGTGGCTGGAAACAGAAATGGTTATTATATGGCTCCAAAATGCTAGCTGGCATAAGATGCCAAAAACAGCAGGAATCAACTAGTAAAAAGCAGATTGTAGTAGTTCTTAAAAATAACATTATGCTCTAAAAATATAAGTCAAAAAAGCATCATCATTGTTCCAAATATTTTACATCAGCATGTAAATGCATCAGAATAGGTGACCAATGTTTTCCCATGGCATGGTTTCTAAATAATGGGAGACGACATACCATTTAGTTTTTTATGTTATCCAGAGAGAACTAAAATATAAGTTTATTTTTCAAATAATCTTTTTTTAAATTGGGCAAAGAAAATGTGAGTTTTGTTGGAATTTCTCTAGAAGTTTACTACATAAGGGGAGGGGGGATGACAACTTACTGCACAGGCACTGTGAAGCATTTCCATTTTCTCACATTGGACCAGTACTTGTCATATCGTAGGACAACACATTTCACAAGGTGGTTTTACTTCCTTTTAGCAAAATAGCTCCTGTATGCAAACCAAAGCAGTATCAGCATAGAACAAGCTTAGACTTCCATTTCTTCTGATCTATTCAAGCTTCACTGCACTACTTAACTGACTTGTTTTTTTCTTTCTTTTGAAATTACCCAGCTAATTTTCCATTTGATTGTTTACTTAAACCAAATCTCACATGGGGTTTAATAGCTGAGTGACACATGTTCAGTGTATCAGTATGAATTTCAATTGACAAGAATGTACATTGCAAAATTTTTTGTAGATTTCATTTTACATCTTCCTTAGTAAATTCAATTAATGAAAATTCAGCTAATAGATTCATAATAACTATTCACTAAGAAACTTTAAATGTGAAATTCTTCTAGATTTTATTAAGGGATGACTTTGCATCCCCACATTTGTAGATGAACATATACTTTGTTTTATATTGACCTTAGTGAGATAGTATTACTAACAGACATAGGTAGTTTTTCTCCATAGAAAATCATTCATATAAATTGCAAAGAAAAAAAAATGATGAATTTTTTTGTTATTTCATGGCTAGATTTAAAGACCTTAAATAATTGTCCTAACTTTTTATTATGGGGGAGTTGTTTATGTTTAGGGGCTGTTCACAGGATTTTTTCCCCTAGTAACTTAAAGAATTTCACATATAATATAACTGACCAATTTAATCTTGTGCTAGATTTGTTCTTTGTGGGTATGCAGCCAATTTAGTCATGCATAAAATCAAGCAGGTAAACGAATAGTATATAAAGAACAAACATGCTTTCCATAGTCTATTCAAATATTTTCCAGTTCAAAAGACATCCAAAAACATACCCTTCTTTGTCTTTCCCACTGCTACAGGGTACAAGACCACATGACCTTGTACTGTGTCTATAGCAGCATTCTCCTAATTGATTACCCTCAGTTCTATTTTCTTTCCCTTCTAATCTGTCTTATACACTACTGTCAGAGCAATCATACTAAAGTACTGCTTTACCTATTACTGCTTCTCCTGTACCTTTAGTAGCTCCTGTTGGCTACAGAACTAAATCCAGAATTTGTTTTGTTTGACTATGTATATTTGTTATAAGAATTTTTTTTCTTTTTTTTTTGAGGGGAGAAGGGAGTAGGGGAATGAGGGAAGTGGGAGGGAGAGAAACAAATGCTTGTTAATTGAAAACAATAAAATTTCATTTAAAAAAAAGTCCAGATTTCTGACACTTAAAACATCATGGAATTTAGAATTGGAAGTGATGTCGCCATGAATTCCATCCCACAGCCATTCATGATCTTTTACATTCTGGTCACAAAAACAGCATGGTATAATGGAAAAATCAAGGTATGGTCTAGGCCCTAAACTCCAGAGCAAGTCAGTTTGGGTCTTTCTCTGGGCCTCAGTTTATCACATGTCAAATAAGAAGTCAAAAACAGATAATCCCTAAGATCTCTTCCATCTTTAAACCTAGAATCTTATGATTTTCCTTCTCCCACATTATTTCTCCTTCTCCAATAAACAAACCATTGCACATAGGCCAATCCCTAATGTGAATAGTCTATGAACACTACTGACAAAATGTCTTTACTCATCCCTTTCTCCTACCTGTAATAGTATTTTCTGCCTTTTCTCCTCCTTATCCTTCAAGTATAAATTTCAAGTCCTATCCCCTTCATGAAATTTTTTTGTATTATTTCAGTTCATAGTGATCTTTCCTTCCTGTGAGTTTGTCTAATGTCTGTATCCCTTGTAGTCTACTTTATGTTATTCTTTTTCTCTTAATGCCTTGAACTCCTGGAGAGCAAAGACTATGTCTTCCTAACTTCTCAGATTTCCTACAATTCCACGAACATGGAAGGCATTCAATAAACATTTGCTACTATTGATATGATGATGATGGAAATGCATCATTCAGTGCTCCCATAGAAGAGCCTATAAGTTTTCTTATTGATTTATTATAGTCTTAGTTAATGATAACTGAACCCAGTTGCAAATCTACAAAAGCAATGAGCGAACATGGATTCATCAAGAAGTCATGTCTGACTAACCTGGTTTCCTTTTTTGACACTGTTACCAGATTGATACATTAGGAAAATGCTACAGACACAATGTGCCAAGATTTCAGAAAAACACTTGACAAATTTCATTTTCTTAAGGATACCTTGCTGTATCCTTTTGAACAAGATAGGGAGAAGTGGATGAGAATCTAGTACAATTAGGTAAATTCACAACCATTTAAGTAATCAGACCCAGAAAATGGTGACTAATAGATCACTGTCAAATTGGGGAGAGGTCTCTAGTGGTGGGATATCATGTTCTAGCCTTAACTCTACCCTCTTCTGTTTTTATCAGTGATGTACATGGAGGCTTTGATGGAATGCTTATCACATTTGCACATGACAAGAAGCTGGAAGGGAAAGCTAGCACAAAGCAGCATCGTAACAATATGGTCAAACTCATGCCAGCTTATATTATGTTAAAAGAAGCACATTTTCTGTAAGAGAAGAAGAGATAGTCCTGCTGTACCCTTGTCATAGGTAGTCCACATCTGGAATATAGGGTTCAATTCTGAGTGCTACAATTTAAGATTGTTGACAAATCATATTGCTTTCAGAAGAGGATAGCCAGGATAGAGAGGGGACTAGATCTTGTGCTTGAAGGAAATACCTATGTTTATCCTGAATAGTGGTTTGGGGGTGGAGGAAGTAGGAGGAGAAGAGAATGTGATAGTTACCTTTAAGTATTTGAACCATTATGACTTGTCCTACTTAGGCCTCACACAGCAGAACTAGGAAGAATTAGTAAAAAGTCAAGTCAAATCAACAAGCATTTATTTGTTTATTGAGCATTTATTATGTTCCAAGAACTCTGCTAAATTCTTTGGATACAAAGAAAGGAAAAAGCAGTCTTTACATTCAAAGAGATTATATCCTATATACAGGGTAAATTGGTCCTAGCACCATGGGGAACTGGAATAAGCCTCTTGCAGAAGGTGGGATTGGAGGTGATACGTGAAGGAAGAAAGGGAAGTCAGGAGGCAGACATAAGGAGGAAGAACATTCCAGGTCCTGGAATTCTAAGTCAGTGAAAATGCCTGGAGTCTAGAGATGAAGTGTCTGGGTCAGTATGTGGAGGGATGTTAAAATGTAAGAAAACTGGAAAGGTAGAAAAGGACTGGAAGGACTTTCAAAGCCAAACAGAGGATTTTACATTTGATCCTGGAGGTAATAGGGAGGCACTAAAGTTAAATTCCAGTTCTTTGTTAGGAAATTAGAAGAAGAAGAAAAAAGCTATCGAAAAGTAATGTTCTGTCTCAGGTTGGTAATGAGTTCCCCCTAACTAAGGCTGGATGGTCACTTTCAATGATGTTGTAGTAAGGACTCCTGCACACATACCCACTGTACTTGGTGGCCTTCTGAGATTCCTCCTAACTCCGAAATATATATATAATACCATGGTGTCTTCTATTCCTATATTAATCATGATAAGAGATCCAGAATTTGGTTTCAGAATTTGCTTTCATCCTGGATTAGATTACATCCTAGATGGTATTCTCTGTAGCCCTACATGTCACTGAGTAGGAAGTCAAGGTGTAATTTTTCTTCATGTATTTTGAAAAACGGGGTAGCAGAAACCTTCAAACATCCATTCCACACCCCCCCCCGCCCCTGTTCGACTCAGGCTACACATCTTAGATTTCAGAACTCCCCTATTGCCTTGTGAGGTGGCTGCTCCCTTACTGTGATGAATCAGCATTTTATGGCAGCCTCGGCTCATTGCAGCTACTGGGCAGAAGTGCTGCCCTCTGAAGTTCTATGGGAGCCCAGTCAAAAGAACCAGCCCATCAGAGTTATTATTAGAACATACCAAAAAGGGCAAGAGGGACTGAAGAACAACTGGAGGGAGAATTTGCTCAAATAAAAGGGGAACTGAATGACAAAAAGATTTAAGAATCTTCCTGAAGCTTCTCGTCCTCCTGCACATCCTAGAAATTACAATCTTGCTCTTATACCCTTCCTTCATTTAAAAAGGAAAAAAAAAACAGTGAAGTAAAAGGGAGTGAGTCAGGAAGGAAAGTCAGACCCCTGTGTTGTGCCAGTCGATTAAAGCACAGCACAATTGTATGCTTTTCTTAGACCATAAGACTGTCTGACTTTCTTCCTGACTTTTCTAAATAGTAAAAAAAAAAAAAAAAAAAAAAAAAAGTTTTAAGGACGCAACTTCATCTTAGCAATCTGCTTAGTAAAACTACTGCTATTAAAATTCTGCTTTGAAACTATTCAAATATTGTATTATTGTATGAATTCATTTTTAAAAAAAACTGTTTTTAAAACAGTTCAATTCAATAATACCGTTGCTTTTCTACCCTTGTACTTTGCACCTTTAAGACTGTGTTAAATTGTTTTTCTTTTCTTTTTAATAGAGACACATTATGATATCTGGAAATATGTTTGTGTGTGAGTTTCTTTTAAAAAAAAAACTTTTATTTCAGGGAACGGGTATGGTAACCCCCGAAACTCACCAGGTTTGCTGGTCTCACCTGGAAACTTGAATAAGAATATGCAAGCAAAATCTCCACCACCGATGAATCTGGGAATGAACAACCGTAAACCAGATCTCCGAGTCCTTATTCCACCAGGCAGCAAGAATGCAATGCCATCAGTGGTAATACTAGACTACATTTTAATGCATTTTCTGTTACCTTCTTAATATTTTGCTTCCTATAGTGAATTCTTAAAATATATTTGATCATTTTTAATAATTCCTCAAATTCAACCATAAAAACAAAACAGTGGCTCTGCTAGGACACTTGATGTTCAGCTATAGCTTCTGTTATCTAGTTTCCTTTTTTTTTTCCTTTTGAAATTAAAAAAAAAAGGTGTTCAGGAAAGGCCCATTGATAATGCTGGTGTCAGGGCACATGGACAATATCCTCATTGTGGTGTCTCTAGTTTCTATTTAGAAAGAATCATTCATTCTACATCACTATTTTATATAAGATATTCAGTTAGCGAGAGAATAAAATTTGCAGAATATTAAAGTATTAATGGTGTTTTAACTATATGCATTGATAGACGTTTTGAAGGGGTTAAAAATACAAAGCATTTTCTATAATTTCTAAAAAGATTTTTTCATGTTAGAGATTCCTTTCTTAGATTCATTTTAGTAATGATGGTTAGTGTATCTTGTACATCTCTGCTTAAACTCAATGTAAGCTTCCATACTAGTAATATAATAGCCAAAGACAAACTGTTTTTAAATCCCATTCACTCTAAGAATAGGGGTCATGTTTTACAATATTAAAATGGTAATAATCGTTTCTGAGAAGGAATAAAATAATACATAAAGAATCCCTGGGCCTATGTACTTTGCTGATTTTTTCTTGTGTATGACAGCCTTCAGTTTATTATAGTGGGACTAGATTTGACATTGAAAGTCCTCATATCAGTGTTCTGCAAATTAGCTTATCATTAGAGTGAGAATATTAGAAACACCTGATTTTTTTTAAAGGATTCTGTAGACAGATTTAGTTCATGCTGTAAACACATTTCTTTCTCCTGTTCGGTTATATATCAGGGCAAAAATTGTACTGTGAGCTGATTAATATATTAGGACAAAGTACAGATTAATTTTGAAAATCACCCCCCCCACCAAATCATATAAAATGGAGTGACCCTTTTTCAAAAAGACTGGGATTAATAAATATGGTCTTCTATAGGGCTACACTCCAGCAGACTGAAGCAGTGACAAGCTGTCTCTATCAATGATTTATTCTAGGGCTCTTAAAGCTGATATACTTTCCTGGGGATTCTATCTATGAATGGCCAGGGCTTGGCAACCAGGTGCCACTCTCCAGCCTCACCCACCAGTGAGGCTCGGTAGTGTCATCTTTTCTCTGATGGTGAAATAATGAATGCTGAAACGATGACCTATTTTGAAAACGGGGTAGATTGTCTTCACATCTGAGACAAACATCTCATTAGAGGAAACAAAGAATGCCTTTGGAAGGAGTTATTTTTATAGACTAGGTTCAAAAATTGTTTAAACTGTTGTGCCTATCAGACGATGCTTTTCATTATGTTGAAAGGAATTTGCCCAATGATAAATATTTACTCGCACTAATTATTAATACTCCTTTCCTACGCTCTCAGTCTGAGGATGTCGATCTGCTTTTGGTAAGTGGTGGTAGTGCCCCCTTAAATTTAATCATGCAAAGAAACTGATTGTTATTTTTAGATGGAGTTGGTGCCTGTGGTGAAATTGAGAAACGGTAGAGATTACCACAAAGGGTCGATATTGCTAAATTTTTAAATATTTATAATTTCCAGTATGCATCAGAGGTGAAAAGAACATTGGGTCATTATATTTTCCAGCTTAACCTCTCTCTGTGTAGTGCCAAGTTTTAAACAGTATGTCTGCTTTGTAGCATACAAAAAGGACTTAAAACTCTCTGGTTAGGTATTTTATATCCTTATTATGATGTATTTTTTCCTAGTAATTAGGTTTCTTGTAGTCATTAGGTTTAAGTGGACCTTAAACCTTCTTGAAGTAAAGGAGTTAAAGATAAATGTTAACTGCTTTGCTTCCTAGTTTGGGAGAAGTTTGTTTTAACCAAGGTTTGAAAGAATGAAGTGGTCAGAGCACCATCTTCTGGTCAAAGTTTGACATACAGCATTACTATGGTACTGCTTATAGAATTTCACATAAAAACCATTATTGTTGACTTTAATGAAAAAAATTTTTTGCATTTGAATGAGGATCGAAACAATGGAAGTTCAGTATACATACTTCATCAGTTTTCCACATGGTCTGTTTTTACCCACAGTGAAGCTATCCTGCTTGTTACTAGTTCAGTTGCCTAGGAGATACTGATGTAATGGGTTACTATGGCAACAGCTGGTCTCTTGAAGGATTGTAAATGATAGGGTTGGCAGAGTTCATAGAGGCACATGTTAAATGATTAATTTCATGAAATTTGTACCAAGATTTTTTTTATGTGAAAACTAATACTGAAATCTAATATGTTTAATTTATTTGAAATCAATCAATAATGTCCTTTTTATTTACTTTAATAGAATCAAAGGATAAATAACTCCCAGTCTGCTCAGTCATTGGCCACCCCAGTGGTTTCCGTAGCAACTCCTACTTTACCAGGGCAAGGAATGGGAGGGTATCCATCAGCCATTTCAACAACATATGGTACTGGTGAGTGTATTCATAGAGTGTAAATAGTACATTTAATAACAAGAAAGCAAGACAAAAAAATTCTATCTTCTCAGTCGGTCAAGAACATCTATGGTGATCCCTTGTGTATGAGCATAACACTGAACTGTCACCTATATTTCTGTTAAGACCAGTTGAACTTAGAGATCTTTTCTTTCTTAAGTGGTTGAAAGTCTCATCAACCCAACTTGATAAATGAGAAACATCAGGAAATCCAAAGGATCACTTCATCGTTTTATGTAGAAAGGACACTTCTTATGAGCTGTGTCTCTTACAGTGTTATTTAGGAAACCTTGTAGTTGATGAAATCTAGTAGTCTGAATAATGCATATAATATAGTCCAGCACTGTAATGATGATGCATCCTAGAAATTTATACTTTTAATATTGACAGTTTTATCTGGAGTGTTACTCTTCCCCCAACATTTAGTATTTTCTTTTTTTTTATAATTTAAAAATTAATCCCTTGTCTTTCTGAAATAAAATAATTGCGGTTACTGAAAATGTTAGGAAATAAAAATGTTGATTCTGGTCACTACTTAATCATTTAAAAATTAATTATTTCTCCATTATTATCTTTTTTTCCCCTAATCTAGAGTACTCACTGAGTAGCGCAGATTTATCATCTCTCTCTGGGTTTAATACAGCCAGTGCTCTTCATCTTGGTTCAGTAACTGGCTGGCAACAGCAACACCTACATAACATGCCACCATCTGCCCTCAGTCAATTGGGGTAAGCAATATTATTTTTGAATTATAGTCTTTTAAGAGATAAAGCTGCTTTTTAAAATTTATTAGGGTATTACAGTCCACCAACCTAAAGTGTGTCATTATACTGTAGCCTTCATTGAACCTGAAAACAAGTATCAGATCAACACCTTTTTAAAGTATGTATTTTACTTGCCACGTTCTATATCCCTTAATAAGAAAGATAAAATTTTATTGATGGCTTGTCTTCCACTTATTAGCAAAATGCATTGGTATTTCTTTCAGGGCAGCATTAAATAAAATAGAAAACCTCTTTTTTATGTTTTTCTCCAAGCAAAATATAAAGTTCATTTGAGATAGAGAATAAATTTGTGGTGGGTAGTTCTAAAAAGTTTCTAATATAATTGAGACAAACTTGTTTAGGATAAATAAAAATAAAATTTTAGCATGGTAAAAATCCGATCATAGAATTGTCATATTTCCATCTGTTCAAGTGACATGTAAGCTTCATATATTTGTAACTGCCTTGTAAAAATATAGCCTAATTACCTAAATCTGGATAGAATACTTAATTTTTGTCTTCTGAAGCCAGAAAATGTATATCCCTGCCCTCTTGTGGTGGTTTTAGGATATTTCTTTAGTACAGGAGTACCTGTAGTGTTATATCATAAATAAAGAGATTAATGCCACCAAAAAAAAAAATCAGGCTCATATTTCTAACTAAACAAAGAACCAAGAAATGTTTTAATCTAGAAAATTATTTTAAGCATTTCTAATATCTCCGTACTTGCAGTTTTAATTTACAAAATAAAAGCCTATTTAAGAAAGAAGAATGTAGTGGTTTGCTTTTGATATTGTAGATCCCTGAAATTTGATATTATTATAATGGGCTTTTCATAAAATCATTTCATATAAGCTACATGTAACATTTATTTACAAGGTAATAGGTTACCTAAATCTGTTAATACCATAATAGTGTAAAATTCCAAAGAAACTGGACATGCAAATGTCAAATACCCAGTCAGCACTTAGTCTCAGTTGTTTCCAGTGATTTCCTATTTAAATGTAACCAAACGTTAACCAAAAAGGATACAAATCAAATCTTGAATCAACCTTGTGCACTTTTTGTATTCCCACATTGTCATTTCCTAATTCACATCTTTGAAAAGTTAAATGGCAAAGCAGGTAAAGAATTTCCATACCTCAAAAGCTACATGATTTCATCCATATGAATACTCCCTTCAGCAATGCAAATCACAACACCTTTGTGATTTTGTACGTGATCTTTGTGAATTGTTGTAGTTGGAAAAAAACAAAAAAATCCATCCCCTGGTGGCCATCTTCCTGGAGACAAGTCTCTCTGAATGTAGCTGTACAAGAAACCTAGTTCATCTCAAACCTGTAGAAACCTTTCTACTTTAGTAGGGTTGGCCAGAGTTTGCATTTTGCTTGTATAAACCTCCAGAACCCAAAATCAATTCCATGACACCTGGAGGATTAGGGTAGAGTTTCAGTAGAAAAGAGATTCAAAGAAAGAAATTATCAATCAATCAATTTTTTACATAAATGTAGTATTACCTGTAAAGTAACACCAGGTAACACCAGAAACCAATGTCCTTAAATTTTCTGTAAAATAAAAAAAACACAACCCTAAGCCATGGAGGCCTTCCCTCAATATTTCAAGCCTGTTTTTCTCCTTAAAAGCTTAAGGAATCCTTTTATGTCACTTCAATATAACTTCAGATTTCTTCTGAATCCAGCCAAGTTGACTGGATCTGTGTGTGTGTATGTGTGTGAGTGTATGTGTGTGTGTATGTGTGTGTGTGAGTCTGTGTGTGTGTACGTCTGTGTCTATGTCTGAACAGATAAATTTCTAGAAAAAAGAATCAAGTTAAATTCAGATAAAAGACCCCAACAGTTGATTGACGCTACTAACTCTTTTAATAGACCATTTTTCACTTTCCAGTGACTAATTTAGAACTAGCGATCACAAGTAGGCAAAGATATCACCTCATAGCATATTTTCTCATGTATATTCTAATTTTTCATTATTATCATTAAAGATCCAATATGATGCTACATTCACTGTATAAATATCTTAAAATATCAATAGTGTGACTTAACTCCAACTGTTCTAGTTACTTCTGATGATCTTTAAACAGAGAGGTATTTCAAGTATATGGTATCAGTATATTTCTACTCACTTGGTAGTTTTCTCACTTAATCCAGGAATACTAATTTCCCAAATGGGTGTTATTTAATCATAGTTCCAATCAGTTTTCCAAGGAATAATAAAGTACAAAATAGCAACCAGGCCCAAATAAATCTTTTCCTTTCCCTAAATGTAGTATTGCATTGCTGTATCACAACACTGAATCCATTCTGTCCAATATTGTCAGGATAGGTAATTTTTAAAAATTTTTCAATCAAAATGATTATCAAAAAATTTTCTTAGAAATTACCAGTAATAAATCAAAAACTCCATTATTAGTTTCAAACATGACTGTATTGGGGGCATAGATGAAGATATTTTGTCATCTCAGATTATTTTAAAGTTTAAATTCATATTCGTTATATTTTTTATCATTCTTTGTAATTTTTAGAAAATGACTACACATCAAGCATTCAGATTCTATGCTAGCCAATAAAGGTGCTTCAATAACTGAGCAAAGGTTTCAGTGAATTGAAATAAATAAGGAATAGAGATTCAGGATGGAAGGGAATTAAGCATTGAATATAGATAAAGTCAAATAAAAAAAATAATTTGATTTTGCACCAAGTTCCTTTCTATTTTTCTCATTGTGTATGTCTTGCCCAAAAAGTTCTCATATATGTTTTCAATGACTTTTAAATAGTAAATAAATAAATATGTGTTGAATTGAAGTCCCTGGATAATATAATAAATACAATCCTTCTTCATTTTCTATCCAAACATTACATTTGGTTGTGTGTGTGCACACAGACATGAATATACACACATTTAGCCCCTCTTAACACAGTGCCTGGTACATAGTGGATACTTAATGCTAGTTGACTGACTAAATAACACACACACACACACACACACACTCACAGTTGTCATCATTTTTCCAACTCTTTCTATAAATAATAAAGTATGTTTTTTAAAAAAAAATACATCTTCCTACAAAGCAAAGTGGCTTTAAAAAGGGAGTTACCTCAAATATACTAGCCTAATTTGACATAATTGTTAACATTAAAAAGTTATTTTAAATAGCAAAAATCCCCCCTGCTATATAACATCTCTATCAAATGAATAATTTTAGCCACTCAGATTCATTTCATAATAATCAATTGAAAGATTCACAAAGGCTTTTTGCAAATCAGATTGATGTCTTACTGGGCCAGTGGGTCAAATCCAGGATGACAGACAGGTCTGATGTTTAAAAAGAAAGATGTTTAATATGGAAGAAGCAGGATATTTTGGATTGTCAACTAAGCCAAAATGGACATTGGCGGTCCACTATAGTTATCAAAGTGTCACTGAATGCATTGATACTCTACCAAAAATAAAGAGAACAACATGTGTACTCTTTTAAGTGGAAATGTCTTTAGGCCTTCATAATTATGCTTTTAAAAAATACCCGGCATCTGATCTTATCCATCCAACATAAAAGATGATTCACTTTGGATGGTAATCTCCTACACAAGTTCCTGAAGTTAGTGGGAGTTTTACGTAGGGAGTAGAGTTGTGGCAGAAGAACCTGGCCCTGTGGGTTCAGTGGAAGTAAACTGTGTGACTAAGACTGAGCTTTGTAATAAGTGGTCATTTTCCATAAAAGTTACTTTTCTTCTTTGAAACTCAACAATGCCTATGGGCTTTCCATTGGAAATGCCCCTCTTATTTTAGGTGCTTTTCCCATTATCTAAAAAGGCATTCCTCTTAAGCATTTTCAGACATCAATTCTTGTGAGGTGGGTGTGCAATGCATACTGTAGAAGGCTATTTGTGGGTGCAGGCAACTTTGAAAAGGTTAGGTAAAAATAGGTCAGATACTCTAATATATTTTACAGGCGGAGGCAGTAAGAATTTGAATAAAACTATCCAGTCATATTTGATCTCTGATCGAATAAGGGGAAAGGTAGGTGTTTTCCCAGTTCTAAATCTGGCCTCAGTAGTAAATGATAACTTTCAGTGTGGACTTCAATGTGAGCAGCTCGCAGATCAGGCTTTTTCACTCTCCCACATGTTTTAGTCAATCATAGCATATATTCCTCATAATTATTTATGTTCAAAATCATGTTCTACACAAAAACCAAACCACAATTTTCCTCTAGCTCCCATATCTGAATCTGGCATGAATAGTGCTAAGTTGTTTTTTTTTAATTGACTGTTCTTTGTTTTCCAGAATGATTTCTTTAAAAATAAGAAAACTGACCAATTAAATTCCTGTGTTATAACAGTACCACTCATATATGATGTATTTTGTAGTAAAATATCTAACATAATCATTTACTCATTAGACTAAACGTTTCATGTTTGTGGATTTATTCCCCCAATTTTTTTAAAGAGGCTTCTCTATCAAAGTGTTTGAAATATGTTTTCAAGGTGTGATAAAATACCACCAAAAGTTATATTAAAGTATTTGTATGAATATACTTAAGACATTAATAGTTGAAAAAGTGCTTTCTCCAAAACAGCCCTGTGGAGTAGATGGCGAGAGTATTCTCACCCTATTCTACTGCATAAGAACTTAACACAGAAAGTCTACATGTGACTGCACAGTCACATGACTAGTGAGAGGCAAAAGCAGGATTTCTTTAATTTCTAATTGCTTATGAGAGTTGAAGAAATTCTGCAATTTTGCAAATAATGCAAGTCCTCCCCCCCCCAAAAAAGATAATTTTATGATTGAGTAAAAAATTTGTGAATTTTTTTGAGGGAATGAAGGTTGGTTTGGGAGCCTGATTTGTCCAGCTTAGCTATTGTCTTCACTGATCTAGTTCACAGAATAATTTTTCAGTTCTCTATTTCCTTTTGCCAGTGAAGACAGAATTTAAATTACAGAGTTGAAAAAGACATTTATTGATATGCCACTTTATTTTCAGTTTCCTTATAGACATATAGTATTAAATATTTGTTCAATTCATACTAGAGGTATTTAATTAAATTTTAGTCACATATTCTAGCAAAAATCTTTCCCTAAATTCAAAAGATGATTTTCTTCTTGCTACAAGGCAACAAGTGCTTATTAAGTGTTTACTCTGTGCCAACCTCTGTGCTAAGTGCTACATAAAATAATCACCAAGAGCAAATGTCCCACCCATGAAATGTAAGATGTAGCGTTTTTGTTATTGTTACTGTTGTTGTTGTTGCTGTTGTTGCAGATGCTATTATAATTTCTCCCTGACTTAGACAGTCTGTGATTCATATCTGGGAATACAGTAAGACTAAGATAGAATATAATATAATAAGCACTTTTAAATTGCTCAAAGAATATAAACATACCTGAAACATCATGTAAAGTCAGTTTGGTGTCTAGATAGATAATGTCAAGACTGATTTGCTTCTATAGAATCATAGAGGTTAGAGAAAGAAAATGTTTATTAAAGAAACAAATCATTCTCCTTTCAGATTATTTCCTACATTACATAATACATTAATAGGAGAGGGAAAGTAATTTTTTGCCAGTAGGTGGTGCTTTTGTACAAAACATCACTCATAAACTCTCATTTCTGTCTAATTTCATATTCCTATACATTTTCAGCACTTATTGTATCTCCCACAAAGCTGATTCCCTCTATCATATACTTTCTCCCAAATTTGCATGCACATACTCACACACTCACAACAAAGTTTAAAATAGCACTTAAGGCCTCTTTTTAAATTGGAAAATGAAGTAGGAGCTTATACCGGCAGATTTTGAGTCCCTTTGTTTGAAATGGGTGGGTCTTCATGTACAAGTCATTATTTTTGCTCTTCCTTGATTTAAGGGGGAAAAAAAGACTTTTGAAATTTCCTAGCAAAGCAAGTTGTGCCGGTACACACAGCACATGTCAGCATTCTCTGCCATGGTACGCTCCTGGCATATAGACTAGCAGCCCTGTTTTTGCCTTAGAATGCTCACAACTTCCTCATGCAACCTTACATTTGGGTGACCCTGGCCAATGTCAGTTTGTCTATCAATCTCCTTTGAAAGGTTAGTTTAATTCTTATTTCCCAAGACCTGTAGCATCACCATTTCTTCCATATTTTGAAGGAAATGCAAGCTCTTGAGGAATACAAGGAAGAACAAATGTTCTAAGCACAACTGAATCACCACCAGGTCTTTCTTTCTTTGTAATGTGTTTCTCCCACACAGTCTCACATACCTGACCATATATGCCTTTAGAATAATGGGGGAGATGTAAGTTCAGCATTTTCTTTATTCTTATAGTTTCACATACCTGGCAATGCTTGACTAACATTAATGAAAGTAATATAATTGGAGGAAATGAACTCTATTTTCATCCGGCATAGTTAAATAGGAATAAAGAATTTCCACTTATTTACTTGTATTGTCAAGGGTAAAATCTTACATTCATTCATAACTACCTGTAAAATATCAATAGATATATTCACCATTCAGCTCCTAGCCTCCTTTCCTCTCTCAGCTCCCTACTCCTACACAAAAGAACAATGTTTACTGTATGGAGAGCTTTGTGGACCTTATTTCTCTGAAGCTTAAAATCTCTTCACTTTCCATAAAAAGGATATAACTTGATTATTCACATGCTTATTTAGTAAATATATAAAGCCTCTATCATAAGTTTTTAGGTGCATACATATAAAAAATAATGTCAAAACACAGTCTTACTGATTAGGGAGGTCTGACTCAAGAACTAGATACTATGCACTCAAGTCCTACCAAATGTAAAGCAACATTTCAAGGACACAGAAAAATCTCTTACCACCATCTCTTGAACTACAATTCTGGGCACTGCCAACCAGAGCTCTTTGGAAGCTCTTAGGTGCAACATCAGAGCCCAGACATAAATGATACCTAAGGCCTGAACCAGTTAAATATTGGAATTGCTACAGGGTTTAAAAAAAAAAAAACCAGCATCACCCTGCATTATTGAGTAAGTGATGCTTCAATTTTCCACTCATTCTAAATATTTCCTTAGGTACTCTTCACCCTCCTGACATACACAAGAATCGGTATGAGTCTTTAAGCTGATGTTTTATGTGGATGAGAGTGATTGTGCGTTCCTGGGGGCTCCAGGCCTCCTCAGTCTGTAACTGGGTTTCCTTTCCTCCTACAGAGCTTGCACTAGCACTCACTTATCTCAGAGTACAAATCTCTCCCTGCCTTCTACTCAAAGCCTCAACATCAAGTCAGAACCTGTTTCTCCTCCTAGAGACCGTACCACCACCCCCTCGAGATACCCACAGCATACGCGCCACGAGGCGGGGAGATCTCCTGTTGACAGCTTGAGCAGCTGTAGCAGCTCGTATGATGGGAGCGACCGAGAGGATCATCGGAATGAATTCCACTCCCCTATTGGACTCACCAGACCTTCGCCGGACGAAAGGGAAAGTCCCTCAGTCAAGCGCATGCGGCTCTCTGAAGGATGGGCAACATGATCAAATTATTACCTACTAGTTTTTTTTTTTTTTCTTGCAGTGTGTGTGTGCTATACCTTAATGGGGATTGGGGGGTCGATATGCATTATATGTGCCGTGTGTGGACAAAAAAGTCAGGTACTCTGTTTTGTAAAAGTACTTTTAAATTGCCTCAGTGATACAGTATAAAGGTAAACAGAAATGCTGAGATAGGCTTAGCACTTGAGTTGTACAACAGAACACTTGTACAAAATAGATTTTAAGGCTAACTTCTTTTCACTGTTGTGCTCCTTTGCAAAATGTATGTTACAATAGATAGTGTCATGTTGCAGGTTCAACGTTATTTACATGTAAATAGACAAAAGGAAACATTTGCCAGAAGTGGCAGATCTTTACTGAGAGAGAAAGCAGCTGTTATGCAACATATAGAAAATGTATAGATGTTTTGACAGACCCAGCAATGGGTGGCCACTGGTAAATGTTAGAAACAGATGAGGTCACCTAACACAGCAATGATGCTCACAAACATTCAGGCATATCATTGGAGTATGGCACTCAGTTAAAAGGATCAAAGACATTTAAAAGAGGACCATACTTACAAAAATGTGGAGTTTGAGGGCTAACGTATTTAATTTTTAAAAATTCTGGGTCTGCATCACTTATTAAATAAAAATATAAAAATATGTACATTACATTTTGCTTATTTTCATATAAAAAGTAAGACAGAGTTTGCAAAGCATTTGTGGCTTTTTGTAGTTTACTTAAGCCAAAATGTGTTTTTTTTTTCCTTGATAGCTTCGCTAATATTTTAAACAGTCCTGAAAAAAGCAAAAGGGACTTTTTGTATAGAAAGCACTACCCTAAGCCATGAAGAACTCCATGCTTTGCTAACCAAGATAACTGTTTTCTCTTTGTAGAAGTTTTGTTTTTGAAATGTGTATTTCTAATTATATAAAATATTAAGAATCTTTTAAAAAATCTGTGAAATTAACATGCTTGTGTATAGCTTTCTAATATATAATAATTATGGTAATAGCAGAAGTTTTTGTTATCTTAATAGTGGGAGGGGGGTATATTTGTGCAGTTGCACATTTAAGTAACTATTTTCTTTCAGTTTTCTTTTACTCTGCATACATTTTACAAAATCAAAATCAATTGTCAAAAGGATAACCTGTGGGGCTAGATTTACCACATCATAACAACCTAAATCATTTTAAAAGCTACATTTGCAATCTATTGGGTGAACAGACATCCATTGTATATATTGATTAGTTCTTTCAGTTTTAAATTTTTGGGTTATTTTGCATTTTACCAAATGCAGGGCCCCTTTTTCTGATCTTAGGTATACCCCTGTGCATCTTAGAATTCAATAAGTACGTATCACAATTTGACCTTTATCCTAAATCACCTACCTGGTTGGTATTCAGCCCACTATAATTTGATATATAGTATTTGTTTTTGTTTTTGTTTTTAATCTGCCTGGAATGGGCTATGAGTGGTGGTACATTACATCCTGAAGATAAGTCAGAAAAAAAAATGTGATTGATGTGAAGGTAACCCAGTGAATAAGTTATATTCGCCCATATTTAGAGAAAAGATGAAGAAACTTGATGCTACAGAAAAGAAAAAGAAACAGGTACACAGTGTTGTATTATTTTAACTTGTACTCAACAAACCTTGTTGATATCATAGGCTGTTGAGTGAGCCCAGTGTATCAGGCAACCCCAAAATGTCACTTCTGCATAAGGCATGTATGTCATATTTTTTCCTTCAATAAAGAGAGTTAATAGCCATTACAAGAAAACCCATTTAAGATCCTCTATGTCCCTTTTCATTCAAAGAAACAATGACTTACTGAACATATGTCTCTGGGGATTATTTTCTGGGTCATTCCCCTTTAAGAAGTTAGTGCCATAAGAAATGCTTATATTTCTTCTCCAAGAGTAGTTTCAGTTTTTGAAAGAATATAGGAACAATTTCCTTCTCATGGTATGTGGAGATCCAGTTTCATCTCTCAATCAGATGCATTGACACTAGCCGCAAAAAATAAAAATAAAAAAGAATAAAAAAATTTTTTTAAAATACAAAAGTGATGCCGTCAGCACAAACAAATCCAATTTAGTTATGCCATACCTAAGACCCATTCCCCATCAACTTGCGTAGTTTCTGTGTATTTCTCATCATAAGAGGCTGCCGCTGGGTGGCAGAAGCCAAGAGATTTTACTTACTGGACTCTATTTTCCTAACTTCATCTGAAATTCCCAATTAGTTCTCTGGTTTGTGCCTGACTAGGATGCCAGTCTGCCTTGTGCTCGTATTTTGTATACTCTAAGCAGAATACAATTCAACTAATTCATACATCCTATTTGATAAAATGACCATGGAACATGGAAAGAAAGATATTTATGCAGAGGAAAAGCAGAACTGGATCCCTGACCTATTAAATGCAAACACACATAGACACACACGGTATTCAAAGCCACTCTCCTAACCTTAAGCATGATCCCATTCTTAGAGTCTCTTGCTGAGATTTTAACTTGACGTGTATAAAATATGCAAATATGTCACAAATGTGCTTTGTCATTTCAAAACACTTTGGGTTTATCAGAATTGTTAGTAGAAACTTGTCAGCGGGTGGGGAGGGGGTCAGTCTATGAAAATACGAAGAATAGCCATATTATTAGTTTACCTTGCAATTTGCCTCAGCAACACAGGAAAAAAAGGAAAAGTGAGTTTCTAAGGGGGTGGTTGTTTAAAGTAAGCTAAAGAACCAGCAGAAGCCAGGGTACAGATGAAGCCTTGGCTATTTATAGCAGTTCTGACAATGGTTTTATAAGAACATTTAAAAGAATAGAATCACTTGAAAATGGATACCAGTCACCTCTTGTTCCCACCACTGAATTCATCTGAAGTGGTGGCAAGATGGTGAAAGGATAATCTGAGAATTTTTAAAAGATGATTTAATGAGAAGAAGCACAACTTTGAATATGATGAGTCACTTTCTGTCAACAATAACTGTCTATCTTTTTTACCCTTGTACCTTTCTCTGTAATTTACCATTTACTGTATTTGCAAAGCTAATTTTGTTTTTTTTTTCACAGAGATTCCTTTGTATGTAAGGAGTTTGGGGCAGAGCCCTGAGGGAGTATTACTTTACAGAACCCAAGCTGCAGAAACCTTTTTTTTTTTTAGGCAACACTCTTCATTGCAAGTTAAAATACCCCCAAAGTGGCATTTTGTTCACTCGCAAGGATTGTGATCTCTAATCCTTCTTTTAAGAGATTTTCAGCAACATCATTAAACTGAATGATTGGTGACAATGATATGATATACATAAGCTGCACAACCTGTATGTTGTATGCATTGGTGCCTTTCATTTTGAGGCAGTTCATTTTAACATTTTTGAAAGTTCAGTTTTATAGCAAAAAGGCATATTTTTCCCAAAGGCAGAATCTAACTGTTTTGTAATGATGAATATGAAAATACCTGTCATCTTCAGATCATTTTCAGGTTAACTAAAGTGAGAATTTTTAAAATAACAATGCCAATTCTCTCTTAACAAGAATGTCAGCCCTCTTGTACCTGGACGCGTTTGTTTTATCTTTCCTATCCAAGTCTTTAACTTAGGCATAGAGATTTTTTTTTGCCCCTTTCTTCTTGTGTTCCCTTCAGAAAGTAAATGCTTTGTATTTCTTTTTTTTAAGCCACTTGAAACCTCAATAAAGGCTGTTGCCTAAACATGGAATACTTCATCTGTTCCTGTTTGTGCCATCTGCTGTGACGTCGTCACTTACATGGCGTTAATTTCCTGCCACTACAGATCTTTTGAAGGACTGATGGGATATTGGTATATGTTAGAATGCTTCAGATTGTAGATGTAATAAGAGGCTTTTGTTAATATGTTTTAACCAAAGATGTGGAGCAATCCAAGCTTTTAGCCACATACCGTCTGCATCAAATTTGTCCATTTGGGTTATTTTTATAATCGGGTGTTACATTTTGCCTTCCCTGCGCATACCTCAAATTGATCCATACCTCACTCTGATTCAGAGAGGTCAACTAAATGATGGATTTTTTTTTCACTCTAAATGCTAGTACCTGTGTTCTCTTAGAGTAGAGCAGAAATGGGTCACTGTAGGCATAGTACTTGGATTGCTTCAGATGGTTTGCTGTATCCTTTTTCCTTCTTTTTTTTTTCTTTTTCTGGGGACTTGTTTCCATTAAATGACAGTAATTCAAAAGTAGCTTGTAAATGAGGGCATACAAGCATTTGCAACAAATATTAAAATAGAGGCTCACAGCGGCATAAGCTGGACTTTGTCGCCACTAGATGACAAGATGTTATAACTAAGTTAAACCACATCTGTGTATCTCAAGGGACTTAATTCAGCTGTCTGTAGTGAACAAAAGTGGGAAATTTTCAAAAGTTTCTCCTGCTGGAAATAAGGTATAATTTGTATTTTGCAGACAATTCAGTAAAGTTACTGGCTTTCTTAGTGATGCAGTGTCTGTGGTGCATTTCTTTAATTAGTGTTTTACTATTTAAAATTATTCCATTTTGCCACATTTTTAAAAGTATCTTCTACCACAAGGACACCTCTTTCTTAGCCTTGACAAATTTCATATCCAGATAGCATACACAAATAAGAGATGTGTATAAATAAATGTATCTATCTGTATTTGTAGACAAATATATGCCTGCATGGGTGGTGAATTAGATCTCATATTCAGGGAAACTGTTTGTTCTGCAAGTTTAGGAATTCAAAGGTCCTGTCACTGGTTAAATACTTCTATCACTGTAATTATATGACAGGTCTTTGATAACCTGATTTCTTCTTATGAATCTTTTCCTGAGATGAATGAGAAGGCCATATCCAAGCTGATGGAAAATAATGTTGGTTGTTTTTGTTTTGTTTTGTTTTTAAATGTGAAAATCTGGAAAGGAAAGGAAAATCTCTACCATAAATATTTCTCTTTTTGCATGACATTTAATTTAAACAACAATGTTGGAAACTTACAATTTTTAAATTATGAGTTATTTAATGGCTAGGAGAGTCTATATATTTTCATTTTTATGAAAATAGCACATTAATTGTCAAAATTACAATTATACTTTTCAAAAGAAATGCACCCAAGGAGGTCAACATGCCAAACTATAGAACAGATGAAGGAAGGAAGGAAGGAAGGAAGGAAGGAAGGAAGGAAAGAAGGAAGGAAGGAAGGAAGGAAGGAAGGAAGGAAGGAAAAAGGAAGGAAGGAAGGAAAGAAGGAAGGAAGAAAGGGAGGAAGGAAGGAAAGAAAGAAGGGAGGAAGGAAGGGGAAAAGAGGGAGAGAAGGAGGGAAAAAGAAGGAAAAGGAAGAAAGGAAGGAAAAAAAGAGGGGAAAGGGAAGGAAAGAAAGAAGAAATGAAGGAGGAGAAAAGGAAGGAGAGAGAGAAGAGGAAGGGAAGGAGATAGGGAAAAGGGAGGAAGGAAGGAAGGAAGGAAGGGAGGAAGGAAGGGAGGAAAGAAGGAATAAAGAAGGGAGGGAGAGAAGAAAAGAAAGAAAGAAGGAAAAAAGGAAGGAAAGAGGGAGGGAGGAAAGGAGGAAGGGAGAAAGGAAGGTATTTGATAAGTAACTACTATGTGTCAGGCATTGTGCTAAGTGCTTGACGAATATTATAACATTTATTCTTCACTACAACCCTGGGATGGAGGTGTTATTATCCCCATATATCCCCATTTTACAAGTGAGGAAATAACACAGACAGAGGTTGTCACTTGCTTATGGGTCACACAGCAAGTGAGGCTAGATTAGAACTCAGATCTTCCTGACTTCAGGCTCAGCACTCTATCCTTTGCACCACTTGGCTGCCTATACCAAAAATCATAAGCCACTTGCATAAACAAGTGGATTACATGATGTCTAAGCTCCCATACCACTCTAAAGCTTAAGAGCTAATAATCCTAACTATAAAATGATCCCTGTTCTAAACTCACCTGGAGAAATGTTGCCGATAACTCCACCATAACTCCTACCATGTTCAAGGAACTGTGAGTGATATAGCTAAGACAATCATGGCCCTCACAGAGCTTGCAATCTAGGGAGAAGAGATACTATGAGTACAAATAAACATAATGTGAGGCAGTATGTGATTAAGGTCATAAGCATTACAAAGCATTATGGGAGTTTAGAGAAGAAAGAAGCCATTTATAACATAAGATATGACATTGAGAAAGGTGATGTTTGAACTTGGTACAATTTTCATGAGTAAAAACAGAAGGGAAGACATTAGTGGAGGAAGGAGACAAGCCATAGCAGCAGGAGAGCTTGGAGCATGTTTAGGGAATCCAGTATAAAAGGAAAGATTGAGAAATAAAAGCCAGAGAGTGATGTTGGAATCAGAGTGTGTGTGTGTGACTGTCAGACCAACACTTTGCACTTTATCCTAGTAGGAATTGGGGAGCCTTTGAAGGTCTGGAGCAAAGGAGCAGGATAATCAGAGATGTGCTTTAGGAAGATTGACCTGGCAGTAATATGTAAGATGAATTGTATCAGTAAACTAGGCAAAAGGAAATAAGGGGTGGGGGCCTTTGGCATGAAAAGGAAAGGCTGGATATTAGCAATTGAATAATTGTACAATCAATGAAACTTAACTGAGGAGTTATGAGAAGTGATATCTCATTCTATAATTAGAAAGAGCAATCATAGGATATGGAGGTCTCATGCCTAGGTGACTTAGACTTCTGGTTTAAGAGAAATAAGTGAGTTTTGAGGAGGAGTAAGTTTCCTGGAGGAAATGGTTTCAGTTTGGAACAAGCTATTGTTGAGTTTGGAATACCTGTGGGATAGCTAGGTAGATATCCAATAAGCACTTGAAAATATGGAACTGGAATTCAGGAGAAAAATTGAGGCTCTAGATCCATAATTGGACTGGAAATAATATACATACTCCATAGTTGGAGGGCTGAGTGGAGAGCACAGACAAGGAAAAAGAGAGGGGGTGGAGGGAGAGAATAGAGCAGAAAAAAAAAAGAAAAGGCATCAAATTCACATAGGTAAAAAGAGAGCCAAGTAGAAAAATATCAGCAGAATCAGGATAGGACAATGCCATGAATGCCAAGGGAAGCAATGATTTTGAGAAGGAAGGGATACTCAATACCATCAAATTATGGAAAAGTCAAGGATAAGGATGGAGAAAAGGTAGTTGGGTTTGGTCATTGGGCTCCATTGTTCATTTTTGAAAGAGCATTTAGGGCAGTTAGGTGACATGGTGGATAGAGCACCAGTCCTGAAGTTAAAAGGACCTGAGTTCAAATCTGACCTCAGACACTTACTAGCTGTGTGACCCTGGGCAAGTCACGTAATTCCAATTGCCTCAAAAAAGCAAGCAAACAAAAAGATCAATGATGTTTTAGAGAGGAGAGGGCGTTAAGGTTAGGAAGTTAATTCATGGTAAGGCAGTTGTGGCAGTCATGATTTCTGAAAGGAGAGAGACTATAGCAAGGTGTTTAGGAAAACTGTTTCTAGAGACAGGGGACTGCACATGCATTTGTAAATAGAGGGCAAGAAAGCAGCTTATTAAGAGGGAGAATGAAGACAAAAGAGAGATGAGTTCAGACATCATACAATCTTGCTAGGAAAAAAATAGATACAGATTGATGCAAGCCAGTCAGATTAGGTCTCTTAACCCAGAGAAGGAGAGTGGATGTGCAGTTAGTGATGAAGTCTCTAATTTCAAAGGAATTTCAACATGTCTGCATTTATCCTTGTATGACCTACTTGTGATGGTATAATCAAAGATTCGCTTACCCTAGACTGGTTTGAGACTCCAGGTCCCTCAGAACAAAACCACAAAGCCCCTAACATCTTCAGGATATCTACAACTGGTCAACTGCTTGGATAGTGCTGGTTAGCTGTGTTGCAGTTATACATGAAAATTCATTTCCCTAGCCCAGGCCAAAGCAGGGATCTGGAATAACAGTAATGCACACTTGTGCGTTTCTTGCATGTCTATGTTCCTTGGAATCCTGGATTTGCCCAAGTTAAGAAACAGTTATCAAACCATTGGTTTCAGTGGCAAAAATCAGTTAGACTACCATTATTTATTTTATCTTTAATGGCCTAGCTTAAACAAAATAAAATACTTGAAAGGAGCCATAAACCAAGTTCTACCTCCCTCACTTTCATATAAAAAAATGAAGCATTTGGGTCTGAGTTTTGAGACAGACAAAAATCTGTTCTCCCCATCTGTTTCTCTTCATTTTCATGTTAAAAGGTAGGCTTTCACACCATGGTCTTCCTTTTGTAAGTATTAGTTTTGCAAATAAGTTCTAAACAAAAGCCAGTGAAGAAAACTGTAACTGAATTTACTGTAGTAATAGTAATAATAATAGTAATAATAACTTTTCATAGTGCCTACTATACGCTTCTTATCTGGCTAATAATTCTAATGGGTAATGATTGAGTAGGCTAGTGTGTCATAATATCTTTTCCAAAATAAGTGGAAGATAGTTAATTCTTCAAGGACTGTGATTTTATTAGAGTGGATGCTCCCACCCCCAATGCAGGCTCACAGGCTTGCAACTTCTCAACAACTTGGTAGATGGTATATGAAAGTTGGTGTAACCGAAAAACCCAGCACTCGACAGTAGACCTAGTGAGGAATCTTTCCAAACTTAGCTAGGCTTCTCCTTAGATGTGTGTTCTGTCAATGAGCTCATATGTAGAAGTTTTTGATCTTACTAGAACCCATCTGTGCAGAACCTTAGTAGAACCTTTCCTTCTAGCCGAACCTGTGTATTCTATTATAATACACTAGCATAGCTTTCAAGAAGTCAGGGTCACCTACATAACACATTTTAGTGATATTTTATGCTTTTGGTGTAACAAAGGAAGAAATACTGTTTCTTAGTATTGCCCACATAGCAAAGTTTAGGATTAAAGGTTGTAATATCAGCTCTGCCACTGGCCCACTTAGTAGCTCTGGGGTAGCATTAATTTCCCAGGTTATCTATTGGCCTGAAAATACAGTAATCTCTATTATGGTTGCTATTCAGATGTTCAGTCATGTCCAATTCTTCATGATCCCTTTTGGGGTTTTCTTAGCAAGGATACTAGAGTGGGTTGCTATGTCCTTCTCCCGTGGATTAAGACAAATAGAGACTTGCCCAGGGTCACACAGCTAGTAACTATTTCAGGCTGGATCTGAACTCAGGTCTTCCTGACTCCAGGCCCAGAGCTCTATCTACTGAGTCATCTAGTTGCTTCTTATGATCTCTATTACCAAGAATGAATCAATTTGTTTTACTTCTCCTCTCCCAATTATATCCTTTCTTGCTATCTTTCTCATTCCCACTTAATTGTAATACTTGGGAGAAATGACTGAGAAACTTTCTGTTTCTCTTTGGCCACAAATGGATATCTGTTCCAGCAGCAACCACCGAATAAAAATCTTCCATCCTGCCTTACTTGAACTTGAAAACTTTCAGGATCATAAGGAATCAATATATCCAGTCCAT